TGACTTTTTATCTAATAATTATGACTTTCAATATCTTAATTTCAACTTTTCATCTCATTTATTTAATGTCAAAATTATAATTCATCAAAGCATTACTTTTCTTAAGTGGCAGAAATAGGCTTCTATACAAGTGCTTTACTAGTATTAAATATTAATCCCAAGTATTAAGTATTAATCATATTCACACCAAGAACAATAACTATAAAAATGATAATAGCAATAAATATAATAATAGTATATAATACATGAGAGTCCACACCAACACATGATAATGTTCTGTTTATTCTAAGTACTTGCTGCAGTTATATTGCCTGCCACTTTAAATACTCAAGCTCTTTAAAGATTCTGATTGGCTAAAAATGTTTTTATCATTCATCAGCTAGAAAAAAAAAAATCTGAAAATCATTCTGGTTCTGAAAATCATTCCAACAATATTGCCCTCCTGTGTTGTTTCCATAATATTTGTGGTGTGGACAACTAGAATTAGACCTATATTATTATTGTTATCATTACAGTTATTTTCCATGGTGTGAACAGGGCTTTACTCTTATTAATATCATATAAAATATAATAACTATTGGTGTTGCTGGCTCTGTTTCATAAAGCACTAATAGTCAAAACCATGAATTACAGTGAGTTTACAACAGTTAATATTCCAAAGTCTGCTTGGTTGGCCATGAGTGTGCTGTTCCCACTGAGGCTCCGCTGTAGATGGTATCGCATTTGTTTTCTGCTGGTTTGTACCAGTTTGCGTGATGTCAGTAGAAACATCAGGCCTTTGAACACCCTCAATAATTTGTAACAAATATTAAAGCAAAACATAATTTCTGATTTCTTTCTTTTTATTTAGACGTGAAATATGACGTTCTTGACAGTTTGTATGAGATACTACAAGACACCATTGGTAACAGGGTTGCCTGACATTATTATTTACATATGAAAGATTATGTGTATCTTTAGATGCATTTACATTGTGACTGTGCCTCAGATGGTGTGAACCACATAGAAAGGATGGAAAGAGAATGGTCAGCATTTTCCTGACGTGGATGTTTCTCTCTCTCGCTGTGTGTGTAAATATATACATAAGAGTGTATGTCTGTGTGCCTTTGTGAATTGAGTAGGACGGTCTCTGCTGCCATCAGCATCAAGGTCATCTATTAATGATATCTTGCTCATTTATCTTGCTGTGAAGCAGCCGTTGGACTCAGTCTCCTGTGGAAAGCAAGATCACACCAGATATTTCTGGCACCTTACTGGATTCTTGCAGCATTTGGAGACAGGGGCCACTTCCTGACTACCTCAATAGAGATTTACTCAAATGCCTAATTTTCACATGACAGATCGATAAACACAGAACAGACCAATGCAGTCTGCGTTTAAGTGCTTGAAAATGCTCACATCTACTCAGCCCCAGAGGAAAATTCAGTGGTACTTCTGAATTAGCAGTAATGATTATCACTCAGATGAACAGAGACCAAATGAGCCTCTTACTGAAGACTTCCTCTTTGGTTCGCCAGCAGCATAAGATGCAATCTCAGTGGAAAGCAAGTTTTGAATATTAAGGATGTTTTGTCAAGCCCTTATACATCTCATATTCCATAAATTTTTTTCTGTCATAGTAAAACTGATCAGATGTAAAGGTCAGACATTTTATAAAGAGGCTTAACAAATCCTGTCCATTGGAGTTAATGCACAAGACTGTGAGAGATGCGATGTGCTTTTGAGAACAATGGATCAGGCATATGAAAAATAAATGCCAGAGTCAAGATAAATAAATGACTGGATGCGATACCATTTCTGTACTTTCTGTCCTCTCCACAGACACAAAAGTCAAAGTAATGAGATACTAAGTCATAACTATAAGATAAAAAAGATTCTGATTGGCTAAAAATGTTTTTATCATTCATCAGCTAGAAAAAAAAAAATCTGAAAATCATTCTGGTTCTGAAAATCATTCCAACAATATTGCCCTCCTGTGTTGTTTCCATAATATTTGTGGTGTGGACAACTAGAATTAGACCTATATTATTATTGTTATCATTACAGTTATTTTCCATGGTGTGAACAGGGCTTTACTCTTATTAATATCATATAAAATATAATAACTATTGGTGTTGCTGGCTCTGTTTCATAAAGCACTAATAGTCAAAACCATGAATTACAGTGAGTTTACAACAGTTAATATTCCAAAGTCTGCTTGGTTGGCCATGAGTGTGCTGTTCCCACTGAGGCTCCGCTGTAGATGGTATCGCATTTGTTTTCTGCTGGTTTGTACCAGTTTGCGTGATGTCAGTAGAAACATCAGGCCTTTGAACACCCTAAGATGTATTAGAGATACTCCCTGAGCTACTCAGGAACATCTCAGATGTGCATCGTTTTTGGAACTCTGGGAATTCTCTGGTTACTGTGGAAACAGACCTGGAGGGCATGTCTAGGGTGATGGAGAGAATGAGCAAAAACAAGAGTGAGAGAATGCCATCAGAGATAATGATGAAAACGAAGCCAGACTGAGCCAAAACAACATATTTCTAATGTTGCATGTCATCTTTCTGTCAGTTACCCTAGTAACCAACTGGCAAAACAGTGGGTTCAATTTACGTCACTGCAGCCTATTCATACACTGAGGTGAAAGAAACTATTTATAGTGTTGAATGATTACTAAACGAAAATATGTAGTCTCAGATCAGTTCATAGGACAATTTATTAATCAACACTGATTATTTGGATATTTCACCAAAAAAAAAAAAAAAATAATAATAAAAATTCAAAATCTACATCTTGAGGTGAGGAAATGTGTAACTGAGGTGGCCTGAAAGGCTTCTACAGGAGACATGCAAACGTCTATCGCATGTGATGTCTAAAAATACCACAGCCCATCAACTTTCTTACTCTATAAGCTCGATCCTGAGCCCCTCGGAGCTCTGATGGAATGCAGATCCGAGACGGTCCGCATCTCTTAATCAACGGGGTTTGCTGTTACAGCTGGCGTTAATATTGCGCGTTAAACTGTAATTAGGCAACAATCAAAACAGGCATCCTGTTATTTTCTCTCAGCCAGTTGGGTAATAAAGCACATATAGGCCATGCAACCTGAATGAACAAGCACTTCGAAACAATGGGAGGACGTGGATAACAGAATACGCTATTTCAGATTTCGTTTAACTTAATCACATGTCGCGTTTACATTCATGCGGAGACGAATACATCATCCGCGCGTAATTCACATGAATTCGCACTGAACCGAACGTCATTTTTAAGTCGATAATCGCTTGTTTGTCGTCAAAAGGGCATCGTCCACACACACTGGCGATGAATAACAAAACGCAAGGGATCCTCAAAGTCATTACGTCGCTGTGCGCCGAAAGATGCTATTGCGGTCCGTCACACGAAAATCTACAAGGACGCGCGTCAAAGACATGAGCGTATCGATACATGAAAGCCGCGTTTATCTAAACGCGTTACATAATCAAACAATTAAGTATGTAGGCTACATCTAGTGAAAAGCGATGTATTCTTACCTGGCGACTGTGAAGCAACGTCCCAAATCGTGTTAGTCATAAATTATAGGAAGCATTAGGAGATCAGATACACGACAAATGTCTTACATTCTCTATAGTACCAGTCCCGTTTCATCTTCTCGTGTTATTTGCATGGCGTAAATCGAGCGATGTCGCTGAAAATGCTGTTATTGCTCTTCGGGCGCGCGAGCTCCAGCTGTCCTACCACGTCCTCTCTGACGCACGCAGCACGCGATATGCGGCTCATCACCCCCGCGTCCTGTGTCCCGTTACACGACCAGAACAAAACCCCCACCTGCTCTATACCGCTAAACTGCTCTCCATCTACGCCATGTTGGTCATACAACGTTGTTCCGTCACTAAAGGGGGCATGTTACATTAATAAAACACCATTTTGTGCGCGACATTTCCTCTATGGGCACACTTGGAATGGATGAAGGCACTGGAATTATGAAAATAGTACAATATCTTAAAATAGCTATAAAGAAAAAAGTGTTTCAGCTATCAGACTTTCTAAAATATGAGAAATAAAGGAACAGAAATTCGGGCACGGGTAGGTCTGCAAGAGGCCTGTTATTTAAGCGTGGTTTAAGGGCACACCTGTACAAAAAAAAATAGTATAGAAAACCCACTCTATATATATGGTTAAGAAATAATACATACGGTTAAATCATCGATATATAAAACGTTTTTTAAGATCAGATACGTGGCGCACCTGCTGATGTAATCAGGTCGTATGAACGCTACGTATATAAATAACGCATTTAACTTCCGAATAAGACAGCAGTTTTAATGAAAAAAAAAATATATATATATATATATAATTCACTATAAGCATTACAACATTCAGCTATTTACATCTCGCAACAACAGACTTCCAAGGCGTTGACACACCTTAACTATAAGGTGTGCTTATATCTTGTCGTCAGAATAACATTTTGTGAACTATATTTGTCTCCCTCCAATGGTTTTGCTGATGAATCGACAAAGCAATAATTTCAACATAATCATTCCAAAATAATGATGTTCAGCCTTTTTGACACCAAAGGCACGCCACTGTCCAAGAGAATAGTAGAAGTCAATAGTTTGATATTTGTGCATTTGATAGACGCTTTAATCTAAAATGACAGTAAATTCAAGGTATGAGTTCATCAGCATGTTTTTCTCTTGAATTTTAACCCATGACATAACTATTGCCGTCCTCCAGAAACACATCTGTATTGTTCCGTATAATAGATTTTTTTGTATTTCCAATATTGGAGTATACTGTCACAAACGACCCATGAGTGCTGAACTGTATCTCTTTTTTTTTAACCTTAAAGTCAACTGAAAAAAAAAATCTTCTGGACATATTCAGCATTACTGCATGGGGGAAAATATATGTATAATATATGTATGTTGACCAATATCAGGACATGTTATCACAATACAGCATATACTGTATTGTCTTAATGGAGCCATTAAAAAAGCTTTTAAAAAAATAATTGACAAAAACAGTAATGCATCTATGCAACACCACACTATTTACAAAACAGCAAAATAAAAGGTAACACAAAACCTTTGTTTTACTGTGTTCACCTGTTTACACAACAGCTTGTATAAAAAGCTATATATTATATGTACATTTTAAAGAATTCTAAAAATAAACATTACTATTAGGTTATTTATTATTTTTAACAAAGAAACAAGCCAAATGTGACACATCTTAATAATACTGCAACCGCATTTCTCGACAGAGCTACGTTTGCAAGTTGAGGTAAATGCGTATTTTTCTTTCAAATATATACGTTTGAGAAAAAAAAATGAAAAGAGAGAGAAGAAGAAAGCGCATGTGTGTGGGAGGGAGAGAGAGGCGTGACATCAGAGCGCGCAGCATCACTGAAAGCAGGGCATCATCCCCACAGAGAAAGACAGCAGCGCCTCCACGCCCAGTAAACACTACCAGCGCTACTGCTGAACATGAGGTAAGATTTAAACCAATTCAATCTATTAGTCTACATGATAAACCACGGATGACAGGTGTATCACAACATATGCATGTTTGCGGGGAAATCTAACTGCTATGTACGCTGTGTGTCCGTGAGACGTGCTGAGGTCCTGAGGAGAATATTTATGAGGGCGCCAGAGAGGACCGTTCACCAGAAGCGTTCCCACGAATCTCACGCGTTAACGAGTCCAAATTAGATTGAATTAAAATGCTTGATGGGAAAAAATGTTGTTTTAGGGACATAAAAATCAAATATTTTCTCTGTCTGATATCGTAGCTAAAATATCACTACCAAGGTCAACAATAAAACAACAAGGATATCTGCTCTACCTGAGTCATGGGTTTTAATATTCAGAAACCCGAGGGTGAGGGTCATTTTCTTATTCGGTGTATCATTAAAGCTTCCTAGCAGTCACTTGAAGCCATTCGATGTCCATAGAAGCAAAATAATTGAATCTCCTGCAAATTTGTTTCGGCCTCCATTACCGTGAATTTTCAATGAGCACAAAGAAAATTTGACGATTATTCGACACGACTGATTACATGTTATTAGATTTGTCAGTAGCCTACATTATTGTAAATAGTCTTTTTAGAAACTGGGTTCACCCAAAACCAAAATTAGATGTGTCTGAATGACCATCAGAGTTATGGAAAACTGTTAGAAAAAGCATTGTTTTATTAGATAGATAGATAGATAGATAGATTCATGGCATAAAACTATTGCCTAAAATACCCAATTTACTGATAAATAAATAATAATATACGCATAGTGAGTTAAATGGTACACCTGGATTTTATTTTAATAATTATTGTATTTTACATCTGCCATTTGGTAAGTGCAGTGTACTGACAGCCTGATATTGTATCAGCCGATTTGAGTTTATTTTATAATGACCAGCTGACTGTACATTATCCTGCTGGAATAAATATATGGACATGGAATATTCATTTGAGTTTCGAGAGATAAGACATGAGCACAGCTATTTAGGAAACACATTTATGTACTACATAGCATATTATATATGTACACCATCATTTTTTCAAAATATTTCTTAGCTGGATGCTGAAAACTGGCTAAGAATTTCAGATTGATCTGTAATAATATGTGAAATTCTAAGACAGACTGTGTGTCTGAGGGGGAAAAAATGCCCAGCTATACATGATCCAGTTAGACTATTGGCATTAAGCTGAATGGGGCTGAACCATAGACTGTATAAAAACATGGACATAGTGTCCGTGACGTCACCCGTAGGGTTCCGAAGAGAGTTTTTGAAGCTCAAAA